TTCATTATATATATTTGTATGATTCATTCTAATTCCATGATTTGTTTCCAAAGTTAAATGTATAAAAGCAGATTTTCTTTTATGCATTTTCTCCTGAAAAAAAATGTTTCGTGGTGTCCCAGTCCAAATTTGCCATCACAGGGATGAACTACGATTCACAGGCAGCAGATATGACATCAAAGAAGGAAACAAAAAACATTAGGACCAATTCAGCAAAGCATTTAAACATATACTTAATGATCTAAAGTAAAATCAAAATTTTAAATAGCAGAATTCTGCTGTTAGAAGGCAGGTTATCTATAGATTAAATTATATACAGGTCTTAATTATGTATGTCAATAGCCTCTATTTATACAGGAGCTAAGTGGAGAATCAGGCCACTGGCCAGAAAAGTATTTGGCAATGGATACAATAAAAAAGGATTAGCACCAAACGGCAAAACAGAGGATAAAATAGTGGGGGAAAGTATGGCAGTTCTATGGACTTTTAATAAAATACAGAGTGTTTTAAAGTTTGCCTGAGTGTGACTATAGCTCTTTTAGATACATTCATTATTACAAATACAGCTTAATGCAAAAATAAGAAGGTGACAATTAGAAAAAAACTGAATCACTTTATTGCTGCTCTTTCCTTCAGAGAATCTGAATGTCCTCACATGTGGTAACATTACACTGATGGCTCAACATGCCAATGAAATCATAACATCATGTTTTAAGCAGTGCATAGAATTGCTCTATGGGTAGATTTTATATAGTGTCACAAATCATTCAGTTATTTTTGCAGAAGAAGAAACATCATTGTTCCTTAAATTAATGTATCAATTAGAAAGCTTAATAATGTTAATTCAGATCATCATCTTGAAAGATACCTTTTTGCTGGCAAAAGACTCATGTTTGCACCATCAGCAAGTAGGCGCAAATAGAAACTAAACCTACCAACTTCAGCTTCCCTGAGAAGTCTAACAGAGGCAGGCCTGAGTTGCAAAGCAGCTCCAGCTCCAGCAAAAGAAAGGTTATGTGTGTAACTTTCCATTTCTGCAGCATTTGAAGCACACTGCTCTTCCTCTGGCCACATCCAGATGAGCGTGGCCTTGAGGTACGTGGCACCACAAATGGCCATGAGGTATGCAGTGCCATATAAAGCACATGCAGATGTTCTCTGCGCCGCCTGTGCATGCACTACTCTGCTTTTTTTTTTCCATGGGCTCCCCCTCTCCGGGATATCCAGGGGTAAAAAAAAAACCTGTAGAAAAAAAAAAGTGGAGCAGTGCACGCATGGGTGGTGCACCACTCAAAAGCAGAACCAGGCTGCCAGCCAGGCTCCATGCAGTACAGCCATAACTGCTACAGCCCTGGGAAGCCCCCAAAACTCCAGGTAAGGTTGCTGGGACCAGCATAGTGCTGCCCCAGCTTCCCCTACCGCTTCTGGGTAACTTGCTGAGTGCCAAAGCGCACATGGCACCACTGCTACTTGTCCCCAAGGAACCGGGGCTGGACCCAATGATCTTACAAGGTCCTTTCCAGCCCTAATGCCTATGGAATCTATGAAACCAAGCATCCATGCTCATGTGGACATGGTCTCTTAGTCCATTTAATTTTGACTGTGGAAAGTGCTTCATTATGCATAGCATGGATGACAGAGAAAACTTTCTGGCACACCCCTCTGCTGCAAACTTCACTACACAAACTCTCAGTACACTGTTGTATGTCTTTTCCAGATCCACAATGACCATGCTCACTTGTCACCGTGTCTCTCTGAAAATAAGTTGTGCTTCTTCTAAGAATGGGATAAGGTTTACACTTCTGTATTTCAGCATTTCTAAACAAATGCTTTTCAATAATCTCACAATATATCAAACTCCATGGCACCACCTGAACAGGATGATAACTAGCACACAATGTAATATTTAAAAACAGACACTACAAAACTTTTATGGCATTCACTTTCTTTGGTACTCTCTCTGACTTAAGAGAAACATTGCACAGACCTATACTTGGGGAACAAACAGGAGGAGCTTGCTCTCCTGCTTGCAAGTAGCAAAATTGACCTGG